AACGAGCCATTCATTGGATTTATTGAGATACTTAGCTGCAAATTTTGTTCGCGCTTTCTTGTGCGCTGGGGTGAGTCGGGGACTGGACTTGCGCTTGCGGTACTTTGCGAATCTTGAACTCCGCAATATGCGCAACACAGTAGTGTGGCTCGGCTTTTGTTCCAATGTGGCTGCGATCTTTCGCGACGTTTGCTGCTTATGAATTGCGAGCCGGAAGATGCGGCGAATGTCGCGCCTCTTAAAGATGAGGCGTCTACCACGGCGTTTGGCGCGAATCGGTGCAGCTTGCTGCTTCCACAAGTTTCTTATCGCTTTCTCGCTTCGCTGTAAAGCATTCGCAATCCAGCGGTTTGATTTTTTGAGAGATTTGTAGGCCTGGGCCTGGCCAACCTCGTGTGGGGTTAGTCTTGCTCCTCTGGGCATTGTTAGGAAGTGAAGGTGTCGCCATGATGCATGTATGTCATCAGCGATGTATCTTCTTTAATTTAACGCATTTTGTAGGCCAATCAGAGCATCCTATCACGAGTTATACTCGAAAATTGTCAGTGCGGCCATAGTTTTGCACCAGCCAAAAAACGAGTTTTATCATTTTCTTGGAATACGGTTGACTTCTGCGGATGATTTAGGCGTCAGATATTAGTCAAATAACACACGGCTGTCTCCTCCACAAATATTGGTTGCGGCTATAATTTTATTCCAGACTGCTTCAGGGGGGATCAGTCAAAAGGTGAAGTCACACCATCGCTCCACATCAATTGCATCTTCTCGCATCTTTAGAAACTCGTTCAGGTGTGCAGGGCTCTGAACCTAGGACATCACGAAACCTCGGACCGGCAAGTTGTCCGAGGTTCCAGGGTCTCGCCACGCAGTAGCACTACACAAGAGTATTGAACCCCTAGGCTGCCTCTTGGGGGGTCTAGCGGATTTGCGGATTACAAGTTCGCAACACAAGAATCATTCCACAATTAGCCATTGCAAATCCAATGAACTCATCCCCTGGCTTTCGTACGAACCGAGAAGGAATGGCTTGAGGCCACTGATGTATGGGGATGGATGTTCCGAATCCTTTGGATCGTTCTGGAGGCTTCGTCGCTGTGAACAATTCCCACACTGATCTCATTCACGACCGAGGGGACGAGAAACGTCAACGACTACTCGCACCATGACTGGAGGGGCGCTGTGTCGAAAAACGCGTTGTGGAGGCTGAAGGGCTATGCCCTCACCACCATCCAGTACCACAACATGCAACTCATCGATAGAGAACACAAAGCTCGCATGGGTTAAGCGGGTTTTTCAAGCATCTACGACGAGTTTTGCTACGGAGGACTTCACGCGTCGTGGACGATTTCAATTTCTTCCCGAAATTCGCGAAAAACGATGGAATAGTCCAAACTTTCGAGTTACAAACTACTACCGACACAATTGAACACACAATGTAGAACCTGGAGCAGATATCGTGCAACCCCCTTCTCGCTTAGATGCCGCACCACACAGTGCCGTAGTTGGCGCTGTAGTAGTCGCAATCGCTCTTGGTGTAGCCGTCCAAGCATTGGTTTCCGGCCGGATAAAAGCAAACGGTGCACGTGCCACAGTCAGGGCGCGGGTTGGGCTTGGTGGTGGGCGTGGGCCTAGTCGTGGGCGTTGGCTTGGTCGTCGGGCGCTTGGACGTGGGGTTTGTCGGTGACGGCGACACGGTTGGGTTGGGCGAGCCGCTGATTTGCGGGAACGACACGAACTCAGCGACGTTGCACATACCCTTACCACCGCTTCCACGCTGTAGACGAATGTGCCCACTTTCGCCCCAGTTTGCACCCCACGAGTTGCGAATCTTGTAGGACGATCCATCGTACCCCACGGCAATGACGGCGTGGTCAGACTGCGCGCCAGGGCATTGCGAGACGACACCACTGCGATAGTTTTGCCACACTGCGTTGCCCGCTTCGACAGCCACAGACACGGGCTGCGTGTTCAACGCTGTTTCCAAGGCCGACTCACCAGTCACTTGGACCGTAGCGCCCATGCTGAGAAACTTCTTGGCGCAAGACCGCATGCACGTGCCGGTGATGCCCTGGCCGCCAGAGGTGTACGGGTAGTCGCGCTCCACACACATTCCTTCGCTCGACATGAAGTCGAGACCGTACCACGGAACGCCTCCCGAGCACCCGTTGTTGAGGGTGGAGCAACTGACCACTTGTTGTTCCGACAAGTCCAAGAGTTCTCCCGTGGAGATGCAGTGCGCCGACTCGGCGGTACCCACAGCTGAGAAGGCCCAGCACGACCCGCAGATGCCTTGGTCGCGTACGGAGTTGACGCAGTAACCAGTGGTCCAGTCCACAGACGCCGCCTTGACACTGCTCACGTCCAGCTCGACGGAGGGAAGGGAGCGGGCGGCGTGAAGACCATCCTGAAAGGAAAAGCCGACCACGTGTTCTTTGAACTCAGCTGGTGTCATGAGGGCGTACGGGTGGTTGTAGTCGAACGTGGCATCAGGGTTGTTGCGGCGGGCCTCCTCGATCGCGAGCTTGTTGTTGTAGAAACGCTGGAGCGCGTCCGTTTCAGCCTCCAAAGCGTTCATGCCTTGGACGGACGGAGGCATGAGGCTTTGAGCCTTGGCACCAAACTCCTGGCGCCACTTGGCCAGCTCCTCGCGGAGTTGTGTGCGCTCCTGAAACGACAACGTCGTCACGGACTGCTTGGACGCCGCGGCAGACGCAGCGATAAGGGAGAAAAACAGCTTCATCGCGGTCGAAGTTGAAAGACCGCAAGTTCAAAAGTGACTCTTCTCGTTTCGATCAAGCGCGGCGGAAGGGCCGTTCTTGTCTAGATTATCCAGATCAAAGCGTCATCTCACATACTTTACTCGACCCTGAGAAAACACCACAGGCTTCCTGTCCACCAAATTGCACAGCCATTTGAACACGTGAACCCCGAAGGAACCGCCGCAAGCTGTGTTAGATATGATTATTCGCAGGCAAGAGTTTAAGTGTTTACAGTCGTGTTAAGTGTTGGAAAACCAATCTTGTCGATGGGAGGTGATAATCGCAAATGCAGCGGTGACGTCGAAGGAGGCACGTAGGGGTCATGAATAGTCGCAGGCATCGGAAAAAATGTTTACAGATGGTAATGTGCTGAAAGCGAATCGTGTCAAAGGAACGTGGTCGCAACTTCAGACGAGACGTCGAAAGAAGTACGTCCGAGTCCAAGCCAGTCTTTACCTTCTTGACTGTCCCTCCGGTGGCGATTTGTCAGGGCAAGGTTTGTTGGCAAGATATGCGTGAGGCGGACGATGCCGGCCTAGCACTGCTGGGAATCTGAGATGCCAGACGGACGCGATTCATCTGATAAGCTTCGCCGCTGAGTCTGAGCCACAGTGGTCGGCTTGTTCGCATTCGGGGATGAAGGAGTCGACTCAAATTTGGAACGTTTTTCGACATGGAATGCATGGCTACATTCAAACACTCTCCATACTTCACGTGGAGTGACTGGTGCATGGTGCCAAATGTGCTAGCTGACAAAATCGCGATGGCACGCATGCGACCTATTTGACTCCTTGACAAAGGAATTTGTCGGTGATGCTGCCTTAACTTTCGCAGTTCAAGTTCGAAGTTGGCGAGCTTGGGGCTTCAGGGCATCGCTGCATGGACGTATGGACGAGGTTTGAAGTCGACGTGGGTCCGCATTACCAGCAAATGTTGGGACAAGGGATGGTAATGGATGATTCTGATGACTAAGGTTTTCTGCATCGTGCATCCAACTCGGATCTGAGTCGGCAATATCTTCATACGATTTGCAGAGTGCTAAGAACGAGTTGTGGCGGCAAAGTGCTTCAAACATCGCACTCAGAGCTTCATGCTCCTGGTTGTCGCTTTTGGAGTAGTGAAAGCGTCAAGATCTAGCCTGGTAATTCCAATTTCCATTCTCGATATTTGTGAGCATCCACTCAGGGGCGACGAACTGAGCCTCAGCATGGACAAAGTCCGGACGTGTCTTGGCCGGTGTATTATCCGAGTGGGATGTTGAGGGTCGCACTTTACGATCGGGCCTCCCTTGCTGCCGTGAGATAGACGAGGACCATTGAAAGGAGATGATTCAGCGGGTGGGAGGGGAGCCGACTCGTACTCAATCCGGGAATCGGCCGATGTGCTCATGACACGACTCAAACGTGGGTGTTGCACATATTCGTGCAATTAGCATGTGACGGTTTGGAGCCAGCATATGCTGGGGCCGGCAGCGAAGTAACTCTAGTCGCATCAGAAGCTCGCCACTGTAATACTGTACTGCTTTCCATACTGCATATGATGTCGCCGTGGTTACACGCCGGCAAGTCCGTATCAGCGATTGAAACATGTGTAAGAACTAGGCAGCAAACCAGACCGACTTCGTTCACAGTCACAATTGAATTTGCGTTCAACTCCACTCGACGACAATGAAGTTGTTTGTTACCCTCGTTGCTGCGTCCGCTGCCGCCTCCAAGCAGTCCGTGAGCACCCTCTCGGCGGATGAGCGCTCCGTGCTCCGCGCCGAGCTCGCTGCGTGGCGTGTCGAGTTTGGCCCTGCCGCCGCGACAAAGGGCGTATTGCCCCACGTCGCCAAGAGCATGTCCCCCCTCGACGCCGAAGAGGACGCTCTCCAGCGGTTCTACGACAACAAGGTCGCGATCGAAGAAGCTCGCCGCAACAACCCTGAAGCCACGTTCAGCTACAACCACCCGTTTGCTCTCATGACGCAAGCTGAGTTCAAGAAGTTTGTGGAGGGTGTGACCCTGCAGGAAAGCCGCAATGCGTTCCGCTCGGTCCCCGAGGCGGACTTGAACTTGAGCAGCGTCAAGGCGGCGTCGGTGGACTGGACTACCGGTGCGTGTGTCAACCCTGTGCGGGATCAAGGTCAGTGCGGGTCGTGCTGGGCCTTTTCGGCCGTGGGAGCCGCCGAGCCGGCGCACTGCCTCGTGACGGGAGAACTCCTGGACCTGTCCGAGCAGCAAGTGACGAGCTGTTCCACCGCGAGTGGTAGCGCGGGGTGCAACGGCGGGTGGCCGTACGCCGCCTTGACGTACGTGTCGACGACCGGGCTCTGTTTGGAGAGCGACTACCCGTACACGTCGGGCAGCACGAGTCAAACCGGCACGTGTGACAGTAGCTATTGCACCAAGAAGCAGCTCAGCATCGGTGCCACGGTCCGCGCGACGGGTGAGGCGGCGCTGGATACGGCGCTCAACACGCAGCCTGTGTCGGTGCTTGTCGAAGCGGGCAACCCCGTGTGGCAAAACTACCAGTCCGGCGTCGTTACGCAATGCCCTGGATCCTACTCGGACCACGCCGTCGTCGCAGTGGGTTACGATGCGACCTCGTACAAGCTCCGTAACTCGTGGGGTGCCAGCTGGGGTGAAGCCGGCCACATCCGTCTGAGCCGCGGGGTCTCTGGCCTCGGCATGTGCAACGTCGCCGAAGACATCGTGTTCCCGCGGATCGACGGCACCACGCCCACCAACTCACCGTCCCCCACGACCAAGCCCACCCCCACGTCTCCTCAACCTGACGTGTGCGGTAGCTGTACTGGGTGCTTCTACCCTGCAGGAAACCAGTGTTTGCCCCCCGAGTACACCAAGGCCGACTGCGACTACTACAGTGCTGATTTTGGCTCGGTTTGGTGCGGCGACAAGCCAACTCCGACCACCACCTTGCCGACTCCTACCACCAAGCCGACCCCTACCACAAAGACTCCTACCACCAAGCCAACCCCTACCACAAAGACTCCTACTACCAAGCCTACTACCTCCAAGCCGACTCCTACCTCTACCAAGCCTACTCCTACCACCAAACCCACTCCTACCACCACCGGGGCTGTTGACTGCGGCACGTGCAATGTTTGCTACGATCCGGCCACAGCTCAATGCATGGACACCATCAGCAAGTACGATTGCCGAGCCTTGACCCCTACCAAGGGCTACGTGTGGTGCGGCTTCTGGTAAAGCCTGTCGCCTGCAATCATTTTCGTTCGTGTCGCCGTAGGAGTTTGTTACTTCTAACGCTAGAAATTTGACATTGCGTCATTGTCAGGTGCTATGGTCAATTACGCCGCTTGATATCGCCTCCATGGTAGTATAGTCTGGCGATGTTAAGCAATGGTTTTGCTTAGCTGCGTTAGCGATCGCATTCAGCACCAGTTGTGAGTTTTCAGTACTGTAATTTTCGTCTCGAGATCGAATGGACCAGAAGTGCTACAACTGGTGCTTCCAATCTCTTGTGGGGACCTCTTGCGCAATCTAACGCGGCGAACCAGTGATCTGCATCTTTTGTGGTAAACTTCATCCTCCCCTTTCTCCACGATAACGT